AGGACCGTAAGGCTCATCCAGCTCCAACCCCCTGCCACGGGCAGGGACACCTCACACCAGACCATGTCGCCCAAGCCCCTGTCTGATGGCTTTCTGATTTAGGAATAGCTTAGCAGAAGATCTCACAGTTTTGAATAACAAAACAGGCCAATAAAAACATTCTAATTAAAAAGGTTAAAAATTGAGGAAGATAAATCCTATTTTGTTTCTGTTACATGAAGTCTGTGTGCGAAATTGAAAGGAGGGAACAGTGCAGAGAACTTTGGTTTTGAATTTCATCTTATCTGCAGTTAAAATGAAGCTTATATTCCAATAACGAAAAGACAGCCACTTGAGAATGCCCTGTGCAACTGGAGGGTGGTAAGGCACAGTTCAAACACGTCTGCAGTGCTGGGAGGACACATGGCAATGACACGTTTCTGTAAGCAGGCATGCCTTAGGTGTTACAAAAACCAGCTTAGACTAAGAGTGGTGGCTGAACTTGCTTTCACTGGCATGTTAGCATGCTGGAGGGAGGGATGTGAGGAGGGGATGGTGTCCCAGCAAGTGAGCATCTGCTGATACTGTTTGTGCTGTCCTGTAGCAGCTGGTTGAACAAGGAGGGCTTTTCTGCATCTGCCATCACATGCAGTCTTCTTTCTTCAGGTTATTAATTGATCTATAAAAACATGTAGATTTTTGCTTAAGGTGACAGCTGAAAAACTTGAAATAAGGTGGAAAAACCATAGGGTCCAATTGCCTGTTGATACACAGCCACACAACCTGCTGAGAGGGCTTGGATCGGTGCTGTAACAACTTCATGGCCTTTTAATGAGGCTGCTTCATTCAGCATCTGCTCTCCTGCAATCTTTCGTCATCCTTCTCCATTAACTCAGTTCTGACACTGGCACTGGCTGTCATTCAGTCCTTGTTTCGCGGCCTACACCCAGCCCAACTTTCATGCGACAGGTTATTTGGAGTGGATGTCTTGCTCTGAAATCCGTGTGGATTCAGGCAGTTCAATAGCGTGACTGTGGCTTGATCTGTCGTGGTACGTGATGGAGCTGGGAATGCTTCTGTTTGTTTGGGGGGTTTAATATAACTACCATCTCCTTGATATTTCACCTCCTGTTGTCTTCTCTGAGATCTTCTGACTCTCCAGTAATATAGTTGATGAAGGAGGAAAACCAGATCACCTTTACTGACAACTGATAATGTTGGAATACTCTTCCATATCATGTTTACCAGAATTAAGTTACGGCATGCTTCCAGGGGAGACTGTTACTTGCATTGCCTTACACGTGCTTGTGTTGGAAGAGTTGGAGTGTGTAAAAGGTATTTCAGCCAAATTGGCATGTCCCTGGCTTTCAGGCTGGGGAAGCTGCAGGAACCATGCTGAAACAATGAGAAAGAGTTGGAGCGAAACCCTGTCTCTGAAATCAATTGAGCTCCCATTAGTGTGAGTCCAGATTCTATCCATAAACTTAAGTAGGGTATTTCTCTTTCTAGGCAGCCTACAGAATCAGTTCTGTCCTTTTGCATTTGTTTGGATGTGCCTTTGTAATGATCGCGTGATTGGGATATATCTGTAATGTCAGAACTGTAATAGGCTAAGTAGCATAAATGACTGTTGGGAAGAGAAGAAACACAACTGCAGAACCATTGTTGCTTTAAAACTTCTGCTGCTTTTAGTTGTTTGGTTTAACCATTTACTAGTTAGAGCTGTGATAACTCGCAGTGATGGCTGTTTAGGCACCAGCCCCTGTTCTCCCTCCCATGGAAGGAAGTAGAAATCATTCAGTGCACGGCCACTGGCTTCTCAGTTGGCCAGAGACTAACTTTGGTGCCCCTAAAGCCTTAATGATGTTGTGTACAGCACCAAGATACTCTTAGATTTTAATCCCACAGGAAATGCATAGTGTTAGCAGTATGTTAAAGTGATAACAAATGCTCAGTGTATGCAGCATCAGCCCCCCCGTGCATTTAAGCCTGTTTGAGTACTAAAACCAGCCCTGGTATCTAAGGGACTGGGTTATTACTGATTATGCTTTTATCACTGTGCCTGTCTGTTGGTTTTCTCTGTGTTCCTGGAGGTACAATAATAACAATAATGCTCTTTAACGTTTGCACTTTTCTCCCTGCGATCAGTGATACGTTTGAAAGGAATGTTTTCATCTTTCTTTTTCTTTGGGGTGGGACAGTGGGTGTCTGAAAACAACACAAACGTCTCCAAATGCGATGCTCAAAGGGACTGAACTTCCCTGTCCTTTTCTGACTTGGTATTTTACTATAATATTCCATTATAGTATTTTTTCAGATTTATTACAAATGTTTCTGTGTAACAGTGATGATAACTCTGTAACTACTTAAGAGACAGGAGTTATGTCCCAGCTCCCAAGCTGGATGAAGGGTGCTGGACCTGCTGGAGAGGAAATCTCTATGAGCATTATTTTTGATCCTGAGACAGGGGGAGAGGTTTGTGCTGATGCTTCAGCTGTAAAACGTTCCTGACTGTTTTCCAGTCCCCTCAGATCTGTATGGGGAGCCCCAGGTGAACGGGTGCAGTGAGTGGAATTTGGTGCGTGCCCAGGGGCTGGCATTTTCTCTGGTGACCACTAAACTCGCTGTGGCAGGAGGTAGCATCTGCCACAGTGGTGCTCCTGCCTGTGGGAAAAACAGGGGTCAGGGGCCTGGCTGGCTGCTTGGTTCGTCTTTATACCAAAATCATGTTTCCTGCCTTAAGAATAAGTGCTCTTACTCCTGAAATACTGACGGCCTTTTAGTTGTCTCCTGGAGACATCTGTTCTCACTCGCTGGTTTGTATCACTGTTGTTTCCTGTCCTTTGACTAATACTTGTCACTTCAGACTTTAAAAAGAAGGGCCAAAACCAAGGAACATGGTACACGTTACACCCCCATTAACAGGTAAATGTGACGTGCCTCCTATTCAAAGGGTGTATCGACAGATCCAGTAGTGCCCTGGTTTTATGGGAAGGTGTGTTCAGAGCATCTCTGCTGAGCTTTCTTGACTTCACAGGCGTAAGAGGAGATGCATATTCCCTGTAAAAGTTGATGGCCTTTCAGTGTGAAATACCACATCGTGCTTATTTTTGATGCATTTTGAATGGTTTAGTTTCCCTTCCTAAGTTTTAATAGGAAGTCTTTGAAGTTGGGTTGGGGCTGAACAATCTTGTTGGCAGCCTGAGCATTCACTGTTGACTCCTATCTTCTTTGACTTGTGCATCTCTAGCAATCTGGAAGGGGGAGCGTGTTGAGAGAAACTCTGAAGCAATGTTATATTTCTGGAAAGGGGAAATAAACTTGCAATTACTCTCAGCCATTATTTGTCACGTGAAAAATGTTACATGCTAATGGCTGCAGATGGTTTAGACAAAAACTGTACACACTGAAAGCCCTCTTCATTGGAGCTCTGGTTTTCTGTCATACATTATGCTAGAACGGAAGAGGGTTTGTTCTGCCTGCAGCTATGTATTACCCTTATTTGCTGTTGCTAGCACAGACCTTGTTAATATGCATCTGGCAATGGTTAAAATTTTCTCCATCAGTGACTTCACATTTATCCATCTAGATCAAGGATTCTCCTAAGTTAAACAGGTAAGGACATGGGTACACAGGAGCCTTTGGTACCTCTAGAAAGGCAGATGTGAAGGAGGCAGCATTAAGGTTGTGGTCTAATATTTGTGTGCTCTTGTTAAAGCTCAGAATCAATTTTAATGTTAGAATGTATTTATGTCTGCATAAGCATATTGTGCCTCTGTGTGTGCGTGTGATTGTAGACACAGTGATTGCTTCATACTGTGGAATAGTAAAACAGCTCTATAATGCGCTTATGTATTCTGGTTTATTCATCAGAACCAGTACAGACAGCTGTGAAGTGTTACTTTGAATTACAGTTTATACAGTAAAAATGATAAAAGGTTGCATTTGATATAAATTAGTCTGTTAAAATAACACGAAGTGAAGAAGGAAGGGTGAGAGGGTGGAATAGAAGTTGGAGTTCAACGCTCCTGAGGTAAGGTGAGTGGAAAGATTTCCATGGGCTGGTTTGGTCTTACCATTAATCACGTTCCCCATAGATGTGTCAAACAAATCGATGTGCAGAGATGCAGTTGGGTAACTGTGCTCATGGTTTTCTTTACTGTCACAGCAATGAGCATTAATGTTGCATCTTACTCTTCAGTGGTGCTCTATGTTCATGTCACCAGCGGACGCTCTCTGTAGGTACTGTGGAAGTCGAGAAGGTGTGGAAGGCCCTGTGCAAATCCCAGACTGCAGTTTTCTGTCTGTCCTTTTAGGTGCTGATCCCTGAGTACAGTCAGCTCTGTTCGAAGCTATGGTTTTCTTTTACCTGTTATAAAGGGGGGTGTTGCTTCTGACAAGGTGCTTGTAGCACTGTAGGAAGGTGACCTGACTTGATGGTCAACTGGCTTAAACTAGGCATAAGAGAGCAGTATGTGGCCAGCTAAAGCTGCTTGAATGGTCAGATACTTTAGGGGAGGAAAGAGTTTTGAAGAATAAGCCTTTATTTGGTGGAATGATTTTACTGGAGCACTAGAGGCAGGATAATGGGATGAGATGAAATAATCTGACTGCTCTGGAATAGCCCAGCTGCTGCAGTTTTGCATCTGATCATGTATTTCAAACTAAGAGATTTTACAGTTTCCTTTGAGGCAATAACTCTAACAGTTTATGTGGAGAGCTGGCCCTTACCTTGTCTTTTTCTTCCTCCGCAGGTGCCTGGCACACTGAACCTATTGATCTGTGTAGGATTTGTGCTGTGGTCCATTTATTGAAGATGTGAAGCAACGGCAAGTCTGAGATTGGAATTACTGATAGACTGGAGAAAATCTTAGTCCTTGTGATGCACATGGACATGCTGGATTATAAGTAATTCTAGCTTCTTTTCCTCTCCCTTCCCTTCCCCTCACTCAGCTATCTCAGGGTTCATAGAGATTTCAATGGTTCGTGTGCCTGTAAGTTTGGAACAGAAGTGACCAAAAATGGGGGACCAGCAATTGTATAAAACTAACCATACTGCCAACAGCAATGAGAACTTGTACTACCAACAACACCAAATGAACTCCCTTCCATCTCTAAATCATAGCTATGGGACGTCTGTTCTGGACGCTCCCCAGGTGTCCCCTCTCTCCCCACAGTTTCCCCAAGATTCAAGAGACAGTATAGCTTTGCCTGTAGGTTCAAAAAGTCTTGGATCAATGGATACATCCAGACAAACTAGTTGGACACATTCTGGCTCAGGAAACCACGTCGCGGTGAGGAACAATCTGAATAATCCAAGCGCAATGTGGAGCCCCCTCGGGCAGGGGGAGTCCCACGATGGATACCAATATTCCTACTCTCAACCCAGTGAAAATCGATCGCAAAAAATTACCAGTGGGGTCCTGCACAAACTGGACTCCTTTACACAAGTATTTGCTAACCAAAACCTGAGGATTCAAGTCAACAACATGGCTCAGGTTTTGCACAGCGAGTCTTCGATGGTGGATAACTCTGGCGACAGCGCGCTCAGGCAGCTGCTGTCCCAGAAGCCAGCGGTTGAGCAACATCCCGTCACTTCCAGCGTGCAAAGATACCAACCGGTGCCGCAGCAAACCCACCAGAGTTTTGCAAGCACACAGCAAAAGCAACAGATGCAAGTCATGCAGCACCAACAGTTGTACTACGACTACCAGCAGCATTTGTCACAGATGCAGATGCACTCTGCGTTCCAGCAAGGACAGACGCACGTTCAGCAAATGCAGTCCCAGCAGCTCTTACCGCAGCAGATGCAGCACTTGCAGCAGAGTCAGTACTACGCTCAGCCGCAGCAGGGGCATCCGCGGCTCTCGATGCAGGAGATCCAGCAGCAGCAGCCAGCTCGGCAGCAGCAGCAGCGGCACTGCCCAGTGCCAATAGCTCAGTATTACCAAACGCAACCTGTCATGCAGCAGTTACAGCAACAGCAGCAACAGATGCAGTTGCCGCTTCCTCCGTATCACAGGGAACCTGATCTAAAGACTATGCATGAATCACAGCAGTACTCTCAGGATCCAAGTCATCCTGTGCAGCTTATCCAGTTGGGAGCAGTGCCTCAGTATTGCTACCAGGATCCCCACGAACAGTACAGGCACTTGTACCCGCAGAGTTTACTGCAGCAGCAAGACCAGCAGAAGCAATACCCGGGTGAGAGCAGGGTGCCACCTCTGAACTCCCATATCGGCCTCACTCCTCCAGAGAGCGCAGAGGATCCCCCACGGCAGGAGATTAACTCTGTAGGTAATGCTGTCCCTCATCGAACTCTTTTGCCACCCTCGGGAGTTCATCTGAACAACAAAAGCTCTCAGCAAGACTCTCCTAGCGCCCCGTGGCCTCAGGTAGGTAATGTTTTAGACCCGTGTTTTGCATAAGAGTAGCAAGGTGTGGAAATGACGCTGTTGCAGGAGAGCCAGAAGGTCAGGATGTGAGCGCTGATCGCTGGCATGTTTTGGGGAGCTGCGTTAACAGACTTCTTCTGTCTCCATCTCTGTGTTCAGGCCAGGCTGGTGGCACCACAGAGCTGCTGCTTCCCTCTCTAGGGGCTTTGGGAAGTTCTCCCTCGGTTTCTGGGGAGGAGGGACCCAGTTACAACAAATGCTTTTGCTAATTTTTCGATGCCTTGAGGGCTGGATTGTTCAGGAACAGTCAATCAATTGCCTGTTGCCAGAAGCAACACTTCTGGGTCAGAGCAAAGGCTTCTAACAGCAAGTGAGTGTAAGAAAGCTTGCACTATCCGTGCACCCAGAGGCACTGATTTGGTAGAGCCGTTGGAAGGCTCTCGGCTCACAGGCTTTTCATACTAGTAAAATCATACACAAAGTGCAGACATGTTGTAAGGACCTTCATTTATGCATTCCTACTTTCCTGAAAAATGCTTGTCTGTTTTTTCCCCCCCTCTTTTCTCCTCCTTTGCTCACAGGTGCCACTGTCAGACGGCAGACTGCAGCCCCTGTCCCCAGAACAAAGGTATTTGAACACGATTACTTTAGTCCTTTTAATTTCAGTATGAGAAATACAAAGGAATGCTGTGGGGTAGAGGGAGGGAAAGGCACTCTGGGTAGTGTTCCTCTGCTAGAAACATGTTTAGTTCTGTGCTTTGTGAGTTTAAGTTTGTGTCATTTCCACCACCACCCCCAGCAAGAAAATCAATTCTTTACTTTGTGTTTCATAAAAAAGAACCAAAGAGAAAGCAAAAGCAGGGGAGCAGTTTGCTCTCTGTGTTGCATTTGTAAGAGAAGGGACGATGTGTGGTTTGGATTTGTACCTTTGGCATCGGGGATCTTCTGTTTTCCTTAAGGTCTCACCTCTGAAGCACTGAGGTGTCCTCCAGCATAGTTTTGTACCATGAGTAGGAGCACTTGTTAAATGCTGTCATGAGTGGGGAGATGACATGATAGATCTGGTGGGTTCTCAGGGTTTTCCATACTGAGGGACACATTTTCACGAGCGTGGCCTACTCAACACTTTCCTTCTCCCCATCTTGGGAGCAGCTGATGCAGGTTATTGCCCACATATTCCACTGCAGTCACCCTGCGCTTACCTGTGGCTTCATAACCATCTAGCTGTAAAGTTTTATTGACTTCCTTGACTAAAAATCTTCTTTTTGCAACACAGGGAACGAGCCAAACTAATGTTTCTTCTTCTGTTCCATGCTAAAAACAAACGAAAATAAAAATAGTGGCCAGAACAGAGAAACACTTCCTGAGAGAGCTGATGCGAAGAACAAACTAATGTGTTCAATATGCTTGAAGGAGTTTAAGAGCTTGCCTGCTCTAAATGGTCACATGAGGTCTCACGGAGGAGTAAGAGCATCTCCTAACTTCAAACAGGTAGCAGTCTGGTTTACTTCAGTATTTGGCTCTCTCTTTCCATGTTTGCTTGCTTTGCCATGCTTTGCTTTGCTGTCAAAACTTGTTCTTCTTGGTGCTCTTTTGTTATGTCATACCCTGTGTAAGCAGAAAAGGACATGAATCTGTTAGTTGCTAGGCCAGAAGTCCTGCTTTCAAGTCCGAGGCGGTGGTGGAGGACAGAACAGAACTTGTCCCTCTCTGGTGCTCCGCATGTTACAAGAACACCCCACAGAATCAGTTAGGAGCATCATATTTTTTGCCCCTCATGTTTGTTTAGTATATTAGAAATATCAGGAACATCAAGTCTTCCTTATTTTCATTTGCACTACTTGGATGACTAAGGGATGTTAATTGGAAGCCTTCCCAGGCTTTAACTGAAGGAGCAGGATTGTTGAATCTTCGACAGCTTTCTTCCCAAGTGTTTTAGTTCTATAGGTATCAACAAATACCAAACCAAACATGTGGGTTTGAATTGTTCTGCATAAAAAGAACTTGCCCTGTCAGTTGGTTTTTCTCTGACCTGGTGTTTTATGATTTCTGTCCTAACGGGGAATACCACAGGAAGGCAAAGAGCCACCAGAGTTACACCATCTGTGTCTTTGTTTTTAGGTGGGTGATGGAGAATTCTGTCTTTATAGTGATAAAAAGAGCACGTGTTTATCTCCCCTCCTGCAAGTTATCTTGTGAAGATGCTTAATGTGGTTATTTTTCACCGAGGCTGAAGCCTGTGTAGGAGTCATAAGTAATCTGCCAGCTTCGTTCAAGGCAAATAGAGTCCAGGAAGCAACACTGTTGTGTGTTTTGTAACCCTGGCCGCTACTTCTCAGCCACGGTGCATACCTCGTGTAGCGTATCCATCCAGAAGTAGCCTTCCCTCCCTCCCTCGGGCTGAAAGCCTTTAATTGTCTGTACAGGATGAAGGAGAGAACCCACCACAGCAGCCGCTGCCTAAAGAGGTGGATAGCCTCGCGCCCATCGTCATGCCAGTGTCTGTCCCTGTAAAGCTTCTGTCGCCTGAGCCCAGCACGCAGCCCTCTGCCAGCACTGCCGCAGTCAAAGACAAGCCTGCCAACCCTGTGTCAGATGACGAGATGCCCGTTCTCGTGAAGATGACTTACTCTCCACCATGCAGTCCAAAAGTGGCCAACCCCTGCTCATCCTCTGTGAGTGCTGCGTTTCTTGCCACTAACTGTGCTGTGCCTGTTAAATCCCTTTGCTTGTAGTGCTGCTACTTCCTAAAACATCTGTATTCTAGAATATTTTCCAGAGTCTTCATGATGCCCAATAAACACAAAGGGCCTGTAGCATCGTGGCATTTCTTCCTAGGCCATTTGAAAATAGTAATTTTCCCTTTGCTGGGGAAATGGAGACCTCAGTTGAAAAGAAGTCATTTGCAATTGGAATGTAGTATTCTTTAATCCCACTAGAACAAAGGGATTTAGTGTCTTTTTACTGGTTTTGGTTTTTTCCCTTTTCAGGCTGCTTTGTTTTTATGTTATTGCTTAAATTCAGCAGTTTTATTTCTTCCTGTTCTTTTCTTTTTTGTTTAAAGGCAGATATATGTGCTTCTCATTTCAGCCCAAGACAGGAGGGCACTGTGTAGTGCTTACAGTGTGTGCTCTAAACCAATATGAAGTAATTTTCCCTTTCTTTCTGCATGCATCAGATCTAAAGGAATATGATCTAGGAAAAATAGCTATGCTTAGTGCTTTCATTTCACTCGTAAAACTGGAATTGTCAGGCAGCACGAGGAATTGATGGGTACTTGAATGATGTGAGAATGCTCTTTCTTGTTTTCCTGAAAGAGTCCTGGAGCAAGCGGTGTTTATTTCACATTCCAGTGTAGGAATAGATGCTGCTCGTTCCTTCAAATCCATGTTTGCAGTCTATGCCACGATAAGAGGTTACTGGGGAGCAGAAGTAGTGCATGGTATTATCTGTATTATGCAGAGAAATACTCATGTGGTTCTATTTTTTGTTCCCTCTCATGAGGCTGATGGCCAAACAAGGGGACAACATACACCATCATGGATCACCTCCCTTCTGACCCTTCACTCAGACTTAACACGGTCATTTCAAATATGTATGAAATGTTTTACTCTCTTCCTTTCAGACGGAGGTTTTACACGTAAAATTCCACTTTCCTGTCGAAGCCAGCATCTCACAATAGTTTGTAACTCAGCAGTACAGCTTTTATTGTCTATTTCTGGTTTCTAGGAAGAAAAGGGACAGTCTTCTGAATCCCTGAGCTCTGAGTGGGAGATCTTCTCTAGAGACACCAGAGTAGGTGGCTTGGGCTTGTGTATTTCTGCAACGTATGTAAAGTGACTGTGATTAAATCTGCCAGTGTTTGGCTAAATGCGCATTCATTCACTCAGAATTATGCTTTGCAGCCTTCGTTAGTGCCCAAGCAAACTAAACTCATGCAGATTCCTCTCTGGATGCTATCTTTTATCTAAGCAGTAGCATTGGAAACATTCAAAGACCAAAAGGTCTGCAGCTCCCTCCTCTTCTGTGAAGAGATTGTGCCAGTAGAGACCTTTTTTTCCCCCCTTTTAATACCAAAGAACTGAAGCTGTGTCGCATTTATTTATACTGTGCTTTGAGCTGTCCAGAAAAACTCCCACAAAGCTTATGGAATCAGTAGACTCAAACACCAGAGGGAAACTGAATATTCAGCAAGGCTATAGACCAGTGAGCAGTCAGGTGAGGCCCAGCAGGATCCATTCGGTCTTGGATATTGGGAACCAGTTCCTGGAGCTTCAGAAAAGTACTGGGGTGATTCTGCATGGACAGGATGGTCTCCTTTAATATTCAGTGTGACCTTTTTTTGCTGGTATAACCACATTAAGGCTGAGGTACACTGAGGTGAAGCAGTGTAGGAAGTGGAGGTGTACAAGACTTCTAAGGTGTTGTCTTGGTTACTTACTTTGACACTAGTGAGAAAGGAGTACCAGCTCTTCCACATTTAAAGAGCAGAACAAAATGAGCTGTTAATCAAAGACTTGGATCTGGCCTTCTGGTTTTAAGTTTGAGTTTCCCCCCCCCCCCCTTTCTCCTTTTTGGACACAAAATGTTCAACATCATCGTGAACGATGTGTGTGGCTCCAGGTAACCCTTGTCCTCTCACTTTTCTGAATGGCCATGAGCAACAAAAGTCTCTGTAAAGCTGCAGTTTGGTTTTTTTCCTGCAAAAGGAAAACTCTTCCAAAACTTAATTTTTATTTTTTTTTTGAAGAGGAAACATGTCAACAGCTGTTGGAGAGGAAACAGCCATGATCTAACAGAGAGGACAGGACCTCTGTAATCGAAAACATTTCCACAAGCTGGAACGTATTAACATAAGGGATAAAGGGTGACAGTGCTAATGCTCCTATAACATGGTTTTTATTGGGTGAATGTGATTGTCAAGAATCACCCATGGTGTAAAGATGTATGTTGTCTAAACATACATTGTAGTAATTTATGGAGTAGTAGGATTTAGCAGATGAAGCAGACATTCTGGAGTAACTGTTAAATGTTTTGCCACTCTCCAAGTTTATCCTGAAGAAGATCTACTGTCTGAACACCTAAAAGCAGTATCTTTAATACTATGTTCATCTCCCAGCTCTGTGTGTTCTTAATGCACAACCTGAGAATCTGTTTCATCCCACCCCCCCTAGAATCCAGGTTCCAGGTTTGCACAAATTCTGTGCATTCTGCTTCTGGGGACTCTTAAGGATTTATTGTGAAATGACTTTTTAAACATTCAAATTCTAGCATGTCACAGTGTGTGAGTTTCCCAGATGGTCATCTACTCCCCTTTTCCCTCCAAGGAAAGAGGAGAGAGTTAAGTTCAAGATTTGTTGCAGCTGGACTGTACTCAAGCTGATGGGAATGTAGTGATAAGAGGCAAAGAATTTGAATTTATTACATTTTTCTTCCTTTCCTGCTGCTGAGTACTGCAGTAATTTGACTGAGCTCATGCGTCCTTCCTAGTCAAACAAAATAAATGCATCGGAAAACATCTCATCTAAAGTTTCTAATAAACTGTGACTGGGTAATGAAATAACTCCCCACAGCCTGTGTGTGTTCTGTGCAAATAGAAGTGCCCAGGGTGTTCTGCTGGAGCTGAAGAAGGGTGTGAGAGACTCATGGCCTGGGAGAGCTGTTCCCTGCACCTTCAAGAGCTGGAAGCAGCCTCTCTGTGTGTGCCTGTGGCTCAGCCCTACCCTGACCCAGAGGGCTTGCTGAGGGAGGGGAGGGTAATTTGTCCTGGTTTTCTCGCTCCCCTGAGGTTTCTATGCAGCACCAGATGCCATATTGACCAGGCTTATGTGAGTAACTGCCTGGTGGTAACAGCATTTCCTAAGCTGTAGGGGACTGTGTGCAAACCACATTTAAGCATGCCTAAATACTAATGTTCTGCATGTTTTCATTTAGGAAATTAGCAAAAAACCTCATCCAAGTGTTGTAAAATTGGAAGAAAACTTCAAACCATTGCAGGACAAGAAGAAGTATCGGCACAGACCTGAACCTCTCTTCATACCTCCTCCTTCCTGCAACTTCAGCATGTCCCACTCGGGTGCCACCCTGTATCAGAGTCAGCTTCGCTCTCCCCGTGTCCTCGGAGATCATCTGCTGGACCGGACGCACGAGCTGCCCCCCTACACTCCACCGCCGATGCTCAGTCCCGTTCGGCAAGGGTCTGGTCTCTTCAGCAGTGTCATCACATCATCTCACAGCACCTCGCATGCTCAGCTGCCACTTACGCCACTGACACCTACTCCACGGGTACTCCTGTGTCAGTCTAGTAAGTATTACACTTGGAGAGCGGCAGCACATAGTAAATACCACTTCTTCTTGGTGTTACCACCTTAGTGATTTTCACACGTACTCGTGTGCGTGGCTGGTTCTGCTATTTCACAGGAAAAGTCCATCTTTATCGGGGTTTTTACCTTGGATTTTGTAGAGGTGGTGTTAAAGCATAAAGTGAATAGAGGAGCCCAACCAGCAAGTAAGGCTGTGATCTTTCAGTGTGGTCTGCCTCAAGAAAGGACCGCCATGCCTCTCATTACATCTGGACTTTCTGAAGTGTCTGGGCCACTGGACCTGGTTTGAGATGTGGGGTTCATTCTGAGTATTTTCTTATGAAGCACTGAACAACAAGGTGTCTAATCACACATGGTCAGGGCAGTAGAAACCTCTGTAAGTTAGGACATTTCTGGTATCTCTGAAAATTTAGACAGTTTCTGCCTAAATGTTGATTAAGGGTAGTTTTTGCTAATAGACTGGAGTAACGTTGATGGGAATGGGGAAGTGGCAATGCATCCCGGGAGGTGGAGCGTCAGCAGTGGTCCAGGTGTTACCAAAATATCCTTTTAAGCTCAAACACCAATCTCTGTTTCAGATAGTATTGATGGAAGTGTCATTCCCGTGACGCCTGGGCCTGGAGAACAGACTGTTGAACCGTAAGAGAAACAATACTGGTTTTGTCACTGCCTTTATAGATAGCTCCAGACTCCAGTGTGTGGCTTAAGTGCTTTGAACTGGGCAGGTAGTGTTCCACTGCCTGAAATCACGTTGGGCTGGATGTGTTTAAGGTTGCTCTGGATGATGTCTGAGGACACAGGAAGCAAATTGGCTGTGGGAGATGGAGATGTCATGGCTCAAAAATGCTAGGAGAGGCTTGGTGGGAGCCACTGAAGGTGAAAGAGCAGTTAGTGATGGCTGGGAAGAGGGCCATGAAGAAAACATGTGCTGATCCAGTACTGTTGTTTAGATAGATATTAACTGTGGAGCTTTGGAGAGGTTTTACCTGGTAGGTTCCCCAGGTCAGACTGCAAACAGGATTGTCCCTCAGCAGTAATGCCTCTTTCTGCTGAACAGTGCTGTTCTCTGTGATAGAGAAAGATACTGATCTGGCATCTAAGCCTCTTTGCATGCCTCTTTCTGCTGAACAGTGCTGTTCTCTATGATAGAGAAAGGTACTGATCTGGCATCTAAGCCTCTTTGGTAGTCAGGACACATACAGGCTAGCTTGGGTTGTCCACAAGGTATGATGTTTAAGTTATGTATTGAAATTTTGTTTCCCCCAAGAGATCAGTTCTCTCCCTGTTCAGAATACCCCACTGAGAGTAAAGCATTGCGTAAAGCAGTCTGGCACAACTTCCTGCCACGCCACTGTAATAAAAGTTTAGTTGGAAACAAAGTGAAGGTTATATGTGACTTGTGGGGGTTTTTTTATCTGCACATTGTGTAGTTGAATACTGACTTATTTATTTGTCCTTCTAGACGAATCAATATTGGGTCCAGGTTCCAGGCTGATATTCCTGAGCTGCAGGACAGATTGCTAATGGAGAGAGATGTGCACAAGGCTACTTTGGTTTGGAAACCGTGGCCAGAACTGGAGAACAAACTCTTCCAACAAAGAGGTACAATGACTTGCTGGTTTAGAATTAGTACATCAGCCTGTGCCTGAAATTCACATTAATTTCTCATGTGTATACTGTATAAAACATTCAAGAGAGTATTATTTACTGAGGATGCAGAGCAAGAGACCAGAACTGCGTGTTACAGGCTCAGAGTAACAAATTGGGTGGTGGCATTTAAAGTGAAGTCAGGATGAAGTGCTTTCTGGCAGCCAGGGGAAGGACTGTTGCTGGGAAGTGGGGTTTTGGGGTGTTTTGGGGTACTGAACTGCCTGGTAAGGGCAGAAGTCACAGATGAGAGGCAGCTCCTGGGCCTATTCTGTGACCATAACGAAGAGGAAATGTGACGGGCTCAGTGGCTTGTACCAGCCCTGAGCAGAGCTTGTTCCTGCTTACAGCATGGTTCGTTTCTGTTTCTCCACCCTGGCTGGATCCTTCCTGATGCGGTAACATCAGTGGCCTGTGCAAGCCACTGCTCACAGGCAGATCTCTGGCTCTGCAGTAGCCTGTCCCATCCCAAGGGTTGCATTCTGCACATCCCATCACATCCCCTCCTCAGTGAGTGATCCTAAAACCAGGAGATGAGGTGCTGGGGAAACAGTATGAAAGCTGCTGCCCTGAACTACGTAGTTTTTCAGTGGCGTTGCAGAGTCCTTGGCTCTGGATGTTTGACTGACAGGCTAGGGTATTAACAGTAAAATGTTGACTTGTTTCTCACAGTGGAAGACCTTTTAAATATGAGCTGTTCCAGTGTGTTACCTGGTGGAGGAACTAACTCAGAATATGCTTTGCACTCTCTCTTTGAAGCAAAAGGAGATATTATGGTAAGATAAGAAGCTGAAAGGGGAGATAGGATCCTCTTCTGCAGATAAATTAGCATGCTTTATTAAATGGATTTAGATATGGTTATATAAAAAGAGATTTCTGATTGATTCGCAGTGAATGACTTTTCCCTTTCATTCTCTAATAAATTTAAATTTCAAAGCAGTGCCTCTCTCAAGGCTTACTGTATATTTCATATAGATAAGATTACTTAGTTTATAGCCTTGGGGCTTTGAATGTCTCCCAGTACTTACTCCAGCCCTAATATTTCACAAGCTTTCTATTTGGTCACAGAGAGCTTAGTCCTTCCTCTCCTAGCCCTTATAAAACCCCTTTTTTGCAGCAGCAGTCACATCTACTTATTTGTTCAGAACTGTGAGGTAATTGCACACGGTTCTCATATAAATAATGCATTTCAGATATTTGCATTAGTTTAGTGATGGGAATGTTATTAAGTAGGGCAAAACATCCATTTTGCCCAGCGTT